TGTCGCCAGCTGGAGCAGAAAGGCGTGGAGCGAAGCGCGGGAAGCCGCTGGTGTGGCCGAGCCCAGTCCCAGCGCTGCGACTCTTCTTTTTGGAAGCACTGAAAGATAAAAAATTATATTTACAGGGACAGGAAGGAATGGGCAGATATCGAACCTGTACCTCAAAGTGATGGTCCGAATCCTGTTGTTCAGATCATCTACAGTGAAAAATGTAAGTTTTAAGTATGTTCTGTAGCAAAAGTTGATTAACCATGTATCTGTCCTTTGTGTTGTTAAAGCAAGACTTCATCTTTTGGATAATGTATTTTTGAGAGTACTACTGTGGAAAAAAAATAATTAAATATTCACTGTCTTATGGTGGTTGTGTGTGTTTTCATCAGGCATCTCTGAAGATGAATATTCACCTGACATGTTAACAGACAAGGTTTTATTTTAAAATCATGTGGTTTGAGAACTAGTACAACAGACGATTGACATAATAAGGCATTTCTAGCCCACAAGTAGAAGAGAGATGTGTGAAGCTATTGCAGCTGGGGAAGTAGTGTCAGTAAACTGTGAGGAACTTTTTTTTTCATATTATTCAGGTGTTGTATTTGTAAGATGTTTTTGCAGCTTTTTGGTATAATGTTTAAAGACTTCAATCAAAAGTGCTCTCAAAGCAATATATAGCCATGATTTTAAAGAGGTATACTTAAAAGTACACAAAATAGGAAGTAGCTTCAAAGGCTTATTAACCTTACCCCCTAATCACACCATTGTCTCATATCCTTGGATAAGATCCTGTTATTTATTTAGTTAGAGATGTGTATGATTACTTCCGGGCTGTTCTGCAGCGGGATGAGAGAAGCGAAAGAGCTTTCAGGCTGACAGCAGATGCCATTGACTTAAATGCTGCAAACTACACAGTATGGTAAGTGATTGTTCAGGGAATTATTTCTATCATGATTTGATTGCTGACCTCTTAAGTCTTTAAATGATTTTGTTAGTCTAATCAGGGCATGATTAGTTGCATTTACACACAGGAGCAGTATAGACTTCCAGTGAGCTTCTGAAGAAAGCCTTTCCTCAGTATTTTCCATGTCTCATTTTGATTTGGTGATTCTTGCTTTTTTGGCTTTGAGGATGTTATCAGTCAAGCTCAGGAGTTGCCACAAAATAACTTTGCTCTTTAAAATTAGATAACTTAGCTGATAACGTGGCCTTGGTAGAATGGTGAAGATGCCCTCAGTTGACCTCAAGAAGAGACATAAAAGCATGATAGCTGTTATTTCCTGCTAAATAATTGCATACTTGCCATACTGCATTTTAAAAGAGATGTCAGGTTAATGTTCAGTTAGGTAAGGAATAAACAGTGAATTTCCAGCATTCAGAATAGGGCCTTGTAATTCATGAACACTAACAAGTACCTCTTGTACATCTTTAGTCCACTAACTTGCATAACATCAGGAATTTTACATTATTTTAAGCACAGAAGTTGTAGTTTCTGTGATTATAAGACTGGTGTGGGTAGACCAGAGGTTAATCTGAAGAAGGACTGCTGTGATCTTAGATGACAGTGTTGTAACCAGTTGTATTCCAGTTCTCCACTTTTTGGTAATGAATGGCCTTTAACAGAACTGGATATGTGGTTTAGTTTCTTGCACTCCTTTTAACTAAATATTTGTTAGAAGAACTGTGGAGAAAGGTTCTTCTGTGTTATCCTCTGTGAACTTTAGGAAAGCCCTGTTGCAGTGTTTGAATGCTTGACTTTTATACAGGCATTTCCGGAGAGTCCTCCTGCAGTCTTTGGGAAAGGATCTCCATGAGGAACTTAAGTATATTACAGCTATCATTGAAGATCAGCCAAAGAACTATCAAGTCTGGTAAAATCATGGGGTTTTTCAGTTCTTAATATTTTTGCAGATAACTTTTGTTTTGTAAATTGCCTAGAATAAGTTGTGATCATTGATCCTAGAAGATGTTAAGAGTTGCTTCCTGCATTGACTGCAGTAGAAGTAGTGGAGGAGTTCCATCAGCATCACTGCCAAAGTCCTCTTTAGCAGTTTGTTCTAAACTTACGATTATGACGTGCTCACAAGGTCATGTTTTAATTTAATTTCAGTTTCTTAAACTGTCAAAATAAGTCTGACAGATCAAAAAAATGACTGATGAAAAGGCAAACAAAAAGACAAATAGAAATTAGTATCTTTTTATTTTATTGGCTCTGAGTTTGCTTACCTGTTGTTGGGTTTTTCCACAGTGAAGGGGAATAAGCAAAACAGTAGGATTGTTATTGCTAGAGAAATTGTGTAGTACTAGAAAATTTTATTCTGCTGAAGACTTTGGCCATGAGTGTTAAAAAGAGAAACATTACTTCAAGTAAATGTAACTTCTGTAAAAGGAGGTGATTGGCCAATATGTACGTGTAGTTAGAAATTGTTATACTGTAAGTACACATCATATGTTTTTCAGAGCCAAGTGAAATGCTTTGGTATATTTAATTTGAAGTATTTAAATAGCATTTCCTTTTAAGTAGTGCACTTGCTATATGCAGTTTTAGTACAGACCACCCATTAACAAAAATGTTTAGACTGTTCTAAAAACAGTTTGCTGCTCTTGTCATTAGGCATCATAGACGGGTGTTGGTGGAGTGGCTGCAGGATCCATCCCAAGAGCTTGACTTCATAGCTGACATTCTTAACCAAGACGCCAAAAATTACCATGCATGGCAACACAGACAATGGGTTATTCAGGTATTGTATCCACAGAACTCTTGATTCACTGAATAACCTGCTCAGGTTGTAGAGTTTTTCTTCTTAAATACAATCTGAATTGCATTTGGCACTTTGTTTCTTAAGGCTGAAGGGGGGAGAATAATTGCATTTTAACGTGTGGTAGACGTGAGGTATGAACTTGCCTTATAGGAAGCGAGTTTAGAAAGGTTCTGTTGTTGGCTGCTTAGTGTTATCTGTGTGAATTTAGTGATGGGCTAATGCCATTGTGTGCAATTGAATAGTGTAGCCTGTTCGTAGCGCACCCTTCCTTTTATCTCTCTGAACTTTGTGTTGGTTTCTTATAAAGAAGTCTCTGTATCTGATGTTCAGAGAACTTAGGAGCAAGGAGAATAAGTTTTAAAAAACAAACCCTTTTGATTGTAATACTCTCTCTTCCTTCTCTTTTCACAGGAGTTCAAATTATGGGACAACGAACTGGAATATGTAGACCAGCTTTTGAGGGAAGATGTGAGGAACAACTCTGTTTGGAACCAACGACACTTTGTAATTTTCAGCACCACTGGCTATGATGATCCAGCAGTCCTAGACAGAGAAGTCCAGTTAGTAATGCTGTTCATACTTATGTTAAGCATTCTCCATTACATGAAAGCAAAGGAATACTTTGACAGTCCCTGTGGGCTCATCTTTCCTGTTTTTAGTGCAGTTTTTATGCTTGCTCTAATGGATAGCAGATCAAGTGTTAGTGCATATGTAGATGTGTTCAGTATCACTGACTTACTGGGTAGTTCTGAAGCAAGCTATGCTTACCCTGGGCACACTATTCTCATATTGTACCAACAAAACTTCTTTTTTCTTATAGTCAACTAGCTATAGTGGAACAACCTGCAGAAAATATGTAATGCTGGAACCACATAAGTTATGCTGTTCGTTAGTATCTTACATCCTACCTCCAGAAAGCTTGGAAGGAGAATCACTCTGTGTTGTATTAAACTGCTGTTTTAATAGTACAGTAGCCACAATGATTTAAAGATAGTGTGGGTTGTAGGAAGAGGAATTGCATTTTGTGAAGAATTTGATGGAGCTGCAAAAAGAAAGGAGCTTTCAGGGGGTATGTGGTCAGCACTAAGATGACACCCTGTCTTGAGTTGGCTAGTTTTGAGGAAAATGAGCTTTGGAAACAGTTTTGAAGTGGTATGTTTGTAACTGAAGACAAGCTGGGATTCTAGCCATTTATTTTACTACTGATGGTGGTAAGGGAAGCTTCCTTGTGTGGTTTTCACATCTCAGACTGCTAATCAGGGTTGATGGTTATCAGAAGATATTTATCTAAGTTGAAGCAATGAAAAGAAGGTAGTCTTTTTTATTTTGAGTTATTCTTCAGAAGAAAGACTAAGTCTCTGAAGAGGTCCATTGGTATATTCATAGAGGATCTTAGCCCCTCCCACACCTTTCATGACTCTTTGCGAACTGCTGTAAGTTGTACTTCTCTTCCAGTTTATAACTTTCCTGCAGTTCTATGACTTAGAAGCTTCAAAAAGGTTTAGAGTTGTTTTGTTCTTTGGGTTTTTTTCCCAGTACTGCTTATAGAACTTTTTTTTATCAGTATCTGTTGTCTGAAAATCAGCTGAATGCCTGATTATGCTGAGTAAGAGCAAAAAGTCTGTTTTGTGAGGATGAAATGTGGCTTTGTGGCTGTATGGCAGGTGCTTCTTGTTGCTTTGCTTTTAGAGGAGTTGCCTAGCTGTCACTTTAAAAAAACTGCTGCAGAAGGCTGTGTGAGCTCAAAACTCAAGTTCTGCCTTTTTGTGGGCTCGCTCAAGTGCAGCCTTATGAAAAAAAAAGTTCTGCAAATAAGTACAGAACATACCACATGCAGTCATATTTAACATAGCTCACCCTGAGCTTTGATTACTCCAGCCCTTTTCAACCCCTTGCCATTTCTGTATATCAGGACACAAGTTATTCCTTTAGCATACCGAGAGAGTATATTATGTTGTTTTGTACTGTTATTGCTTATAATTTTGACAACTGTTTCATTATTGTATAAAATGCAGCAAATTGAACACTTCAGAATTTAAAACCATTCTCACAATGTCTGCCCTTCTGAGACTTGCAGTGATTATATTGCAAGACATTTCTGATATGTGACCCAGCTGAGATGATCTGAAAAAAGATTCTGAAATACAGACTAGAAGGCTGTATTTGAGAGTGAGCACATTCAGGTAATTTCTGACTGCATTGTTGGTGGTTGCATTCCTGACCTACTATCTTTTTCTCACAGTTACACTCTTGAGATGATCACAGCAGTGCCACACAATGAGAGCGCTTGGAACTATTTAAAAGGGTGAGATATCCTTCTCTATGGGGCAGAGAGTATCTGTAGAAGGTGCCTGATGTCTGGCTCTTAACTGGAAAGAGCTTGTTGCAGTTCATTCTGGTGTTGTGTGCTTAAGCAGGCAGGCAAAACCCTCCACAAGGGGTTAAACTAATTCTGTGTAACTTTCCACTAAGTTTCTGGCCCTGTAGTTTGTGTGGGAGGGTTTCAGGTACTTCTTATGCTTGTAAAAACTTGACCTGTAGTGTTACTGGGTTCAAAAGCACAAGAGTAGGAAGCAATGAGCATGCTTTCAGTCTGATTTCTGTTGAGCATATGCTAGCATACTACAACATTAAGCTGTATTGCATGCTGCTTACTTTCTGCCTGACTTGTACTTGCACCCTTATTTCAAAACTGATCTCCAAATAAAGAAGTCATAACAAAAATGTTATTCTTCACACCAGATTCCCCAGCATTACATTTCAAGCCTATCAACCTCTGTTCTAGGATTCTACAGGATCGTGGTCTTTCTAAGTATCCAAATCTGTTAGAGCAACTGTTGAATTTACAGCCCAGTCACAGTTCACCATATCTGATTGCTTTTCTTGTGGACATATATGAAGATATGCTTGAGAACCAGTGTGATAACAAGGAGGAAACACTAAACAAGGCATTGGAGGTATGTTTTGAGAGCTTGATTTTGCTTCTGAGGGATGCCATCTATTCCTTTCTTGTTTTATATCCTGACAAAATGGGTTTGATTTTCCTAAACAAAATGAGTTACTTGTTAATTGCAGGAGCTCTATGAAGAGTTTAATCTTGTTCTCAGAGTATCTGTATCGAAACAATCTCAAGCTCCCTTTGCACTTTCTAGGTCTTTCTAAGAAAGCTGACAGAATTAGCTGAAAGGCCAGCAGGCACTGGGGAAATCAGTAAGGAATGTCAGGCACCACTTCTGCAGAGTATAAATGACTACTAGCAATGTGGTACATCTCTTTTTTCATATTCAGAGAACACATTGCTGTGTTTTGCAGTGTAGTTTTTACAAGAAAGCTTTTCATTCACTGTGGGACAGACTGGAACTCTGTAATGAGAGCTGCAGTTCTTGCTTGGGGTCTCTGTTCCAACATTTTTCCTTGATAGTAAAACACAACAATAGTGTAAATAAGTGCAGTTGTACCTCCCAGATTCATGTCCCTTTATACTATTTCACTGTATTTGACTTTGTCATCTATTTAGGCATTGAAGCTCCTATTTCTCAACTCTGGTTCACTGAGTAAGGCAATGGCATCTGCGTAATAAAAGGGAATTAACTCGAACAATATGTAGACAGTGTTCATACCATATAAATTTTACACAGCAAATGAGAGAGACTCACAGGGAAGCGGTTGCAATTGAAATAGGACTGGAAAGATTTTTGTGCGGTGTCAGATTGGTTGACCACCAATTGGAGTTGACATCAGTTTGAGGTCACTGGACAGCTGCAAATTTGGTGAATAAAACAAATGTTACTAAGAAAGGTGTTTCTAATACTGGCTGAGCCGTATATTTGCATTTTATAAAGATATTTAAGAATTCTGTAAGCTTTTGATATAACAATCCAATCTTTTAATTTTCTTTCATAGTTGTGTGAAATTCTGGCTAAAGAAAAGGACACCATCCGGAAGGAATACTGGAGGTACATTGGAAGGTCCCTTAAGAACAAGTACACCTCGACCACCAAACAGAGCACAGTGACAGACAAGCAGCAGTAAAGCAGTGTTAAGCTCTCATAGGGTCACAGAATGTTTTGGGTTGGAAGGGACCTTAAAGATCATCCAGTCCAACCCCCCTGCCATGGGCAGGGACACCTCCCACCAAACCAAGTTGCCCAAAGCCCTGTCCAACCTGGCCTTGAACACTTCCAGGGAGGGGACATCCACGACTTCCCTGGGCTACCTGTGCCAGTGTCTCACCACCCTCACAGTAAAGAATTGTTTCCTAATATCTAGTCTAAACCTACCCTCTCCCAGTTTAAAACCATTCCCCCTTGTCCTATCACTACCTGCCCTTGTAAGAAGTCCTTCCCCAGCTTTCCTGTAGGACCACTTCAGGAACTGAAAGGCCACAATAAGGTCCCCCCCAGAGCCTTCTCCAGGCTGAACAACCCTAACTGTCTCAACCGGTCCTCATAGGGAAGGTGCTCCAGCCCTCTGATCATCTTTGTGGCCCTCCTCTGGACCTGCTCCAGCAGGTCTATGTCCTTCTTAGGTTAGAGGCCCCAGAACTGGACACAGTACTGAAGGTGGGGTCTCACAAGAGGGGAGTAGAGTGGAAGAATCACTTCCCTTGACCTGCTGGCCACGTTTCTGTTCTAAAGCAGTACTAAGCTTAAAATGCAGTATGTTATTCCCCTGGTGAAGAGGTATTGCAATGAAAAGAGGAGTCTGGAGTGCTGTATAGTCTTGGGTCACTGCTGCTATTGGTGATAGCTCTAGATGCAGTCAAGAAATGTATTAATGCTTAATTATTTAAATGTATTAAATAAAGGGTTTATTCCCTAATAATAAATACATAAAGCTTTACCTACTATTTATAAGGCACTAAACCAATTTCTTATGCCCTGGCTTATCCACTCATGGTTCCTAACAGTCACGTCAGATGCTGCAGGTAACTTAGCTGTAATGGATATCAAGTAACCCACTTTTAGTGCAAGTAGGCGCTGCAGTTGTTGCCTTATGTGGGAGCAGCTGTGCAACACTGACAGCACGTGGTACTGTATGCAACAAACAACAAGCCTCATTTTAAAATTAAACCAGGTAACTTTTGTGCATTTGCCTGAAACTTTGTGTGTTTCTTTTCATCTTTAAATATGCATAGTCTGTTCTTTTCAAAAGCTAATAGAGAAAAAAACCAAAATAGCCTCTTTTAGGGATGTTGGATTCTACTGCATTGAGGTGTCTTTTGCACTGGAGTATTCTCATCCCAGAAACTTTCAGTACACTTGATGTATTCAGTGTAGCTTTGAATTCTCATCTACACTGTCAGGAAAAATGCTTTAAGGACCCTAGGAGATCTGCTTAGTTTTTTTCTTGGAATTCTGCTCAGACAGATGAGATTTTTAAGTACTTTTTTTTTCTTCACCTTTTGTAACCAGACAAAACTGAAGTCATAGGTCAGAAGAAATAATCACTAACTGGTTATGTTACGTATCTTCATTGAACTGGAAGGGATAGTTTTACTGGGGGCTTACTCACATTAAATGTCTTAACTTTGTTGCTCCTATACGTTTTTCACATCTTTTTCCATGCATATATTCAGCCAAGAATTATTTTCCCTCCCCTTTGTGAAAGACAGAAGGCACGTGCAGTACAGAACTGCAAAGGATGTATATACCTGTTCAAGGAAATGGCTGCGTCTGCCCCGTGTTCAGTAAATTGCTATCATAAACTGCATTCTTAGTGTAGAGTGCTTGTCTGATATGAAATACTTTCTTGAAGATGATCTTGAAGGGAATTGATAAAAACTATTATTTATTCCATAATAGGAACAGTTTTTCTGATACTAAGCATTAAAGGCTGCTGATGTAATTAAACCATAGTGGAGATTATTTTAAACGCTTGAAATACATTAATTGAATGCATTCTTTAAGTTTCAAACAACTCATGGGGAGTGGAATTGTTGTATGAAGAGTGTGTAATTTTAAGTTTTTGCTGCTTTCCTGGCAGCAGAGAGAACTTTTTTATAGTGACACATGAACATCTAAAATAGACATTAAAAACCTACAGAGATTTGATACTTGCCTTTTAAAAATTATTTCTTTATTATTTTTACCACAGTTGAAGCTGTAGCATAGAACAAAAAGTGTATGTTTCTACCCCTATAACTGTTCCTAATTGAAACTACACTAAATAAGGAGTACTGAAGAGACAGGATGTTCAAGGTCTTCAGGACAAAGTAACATATTTGCCACTACCAGTCAAGAAAGCTCAGAGACATAGAACAGACAAATGCAATCCTTAAAGTAAACATTATCAATGAAGAGTAAACAGAATTTTACCTCCACATATGGAGTTAGTAAGTCCTCAAAACTTTCTGTCCTGATTTGAGCTAAATAGAACTAATTTTGTATTTAGTGATTTTACTTTTCAGCTGTCTCTTCTAAGTGGCTGAACTTGCTGAAACTAGTGGCATGTTTTTCCAGACAGTGTGTACTTCTACAAGTGATAACGCTTGTATGTTACGTAAACATGAAAAGGCCACTATCACACTATGGGTGCCATATCTGCATCTGCGGGGAGGAGGAGACAGAACAGATCATCCAAAACTGACCAACTAGGTATTCCATCCCACATACATCATATTCAGTATAAAGCTGAGGGACCACAAGGGTCTCAAACCTGCCCCCTTCTCTGCCCTCTCTTCTCTTTTTCTCCTGCGATGGCTGAAGTCCAAGCAGAACCCTGCTAGTTCGTCTGCCTCTGATCCTGATTCATGTGTTCCTGAATCCAATTTCTGCATCCAGCTCCCACCTGCTGCTGGGTCCAGTCTGGGACTTTTCCAGTGCCCTGCTCCACAGAGCCTCTGGTGACATATTCGTCATTGAGGGGAGGATTCTATATTGGTTTCATAGATATATTTCTACATACTTGTATATATTCCATTATTTTCCCTGCTTACATTATTAACCTGTAGTATTAGTATTATTGTTTAATTAAATCTGATAGTTTTCTTTTCCAACCTGTAAAGTCTCTCTCCCTTATTCTCTTTTTCCCTTCCCTGCTGGGAAGTGGAGATGGGTTAATAGAGGCATCTGTCCAGGATTTAGTGGCCAGCCCAGCCCTAAACCGCGACACTTTCATAAACAAAATTCAGAGGGCACTTGTGAGCTCTTAGTCACTTGTGGTCTGAGGCGTACCCTGTTGTCCTTCTGTGTCAAGAATGGTGGGATCTTCTGACAAGACTCTTGGACTGTTTTCTTATGATGATGTCAACTTACGACCTTCTCATGTTTGAAAATGATGTCTAGAAGTAATCAGTAAAGAATAATCTACTGACAAGGTTAATAGGTTTTTAGATTTTACAAGCATAGTGATTCTTGCAAGGATAATGCCACTTCTGAGCTAAGTTTACTAATGAAGGAATAACCAGATATGTACTCTTAACAGTAAAATAAATGTATGACCAAACAAATTGTGCAAATCTTAATGAAAAATCATGCTGGAGACTAGAGTCCAGATGTGGTGGGGGTTTTTTGGGTTTGGTTTTTGTTTGTTGTTGGTTTGGGTTGTTTTGTTGTTTTTTTTTTTTAAATGTAATTGTTTCAACAGAAATGTTCATTTATATTCATTCAAATGTTTATGTTTACTGTCACCAGGATTGCAAGGAAGCTCTCAAATTCTCTTGAAAAGGTATCTCAGTTCTGCAGTAGCCAGCCATTCTAAGAAATACTGAGCCTTCAGAGCTGGGAAAAAAAAAAGGCTTGATAGCTGGCTGGGCAGCCTTGATTTTAAAAATATGTCCAAGACAGACTCTTTCTTATCAGAGTGGGAGCTTGACACAATGTGTGAGCTATAGATAGAAGGATCTCAGAATAGGAAGTGTTAGATGACTTTAACCTGTAGGTGTTGGTACTGACTACCTGTGATCAGAGGAAACAAACTTCTTTGTCCTAAGGGTTCAACTGTACAAGAAAACTTACTGTTGTTACTGATTGTGTGTAGTGATGCGACTCTTCTGTACAATTTTATTACTGAAAAGCTGTGCCTAAATGGAAAACTGTATCAGTACAACTGTCTCTTGTAAATCAGTGTAATTGGAACATCCAGTGGAGTAGGGGGATTTATTAAAGCATGTGAAATAACTTCCTATGCCTTGCTTTCATCAGAGGCTGATGTTCTTGCCTTGATCTAGCTGAGTCTGTCTGATTAAGCTGTTCCTGTCTTCTACCTTATTGTTTCTGCAATTCAGCTGACAAAACACTGCACAAGTCCTCCCTAATCTACTGAGTAGAAAACCACCTGAGCTAGCACAAAATGCTTGTCAGTTGCTGTCTGGATGTGCCGAGGCAGATGAGGAGAGTGCTGTTCTGCTGGACCTTCTGTTGGAGCAGTGTCCTCCAGCAGGGAAGCCGTGAGGTTTCTAATCACTCCCACCATGCAAAACACTTCTGTCCAAGTGCCAGCAGGCAATTCATGCCGTGCAGTGGTGACAAGGATCTTATGGAGAGACAGGCCCCTACAAGAGCACAAAACGCCTCAAAGCTTTTAGAACAAAGGGTAAAGGAACAACATTAAGTGATGGCATGGCACAGGCTCACATGAAGGCTTCATAAATGCTGGTGGACTTGCCTATGTGCAAGTTCAAGATAGGCAGAGGCAACACTGCAGCTGTGGTTTACTTGCCCTGTGCACTTGGATCGAGAGAGAATATCTTTATTAACACCTTGAGCCACATGTCTCAGGTATTGTCCGAGATACGGCATTGTGGGTGCAATAACTTGAAAAATGCCTCTCAGTCTACCTCATGCCTTTTTCTGAGCATCAGTAGCTTTTGCATGTTGCTGACATTGTGGGATAAGGTGTGTGCTTGCACTTCGTGTTCCAAGTCTGGTTTTAGTTGGTGATTATCCCTGTGGCTTTGGGGTTGGCAGCAGGTTTCCCTCATGTATCTTCTGCTTAAGACAGATGGATTTGGAAAACTGTGCTAAGACAATGTTTGGTGGAGTTTTAGCAAATGTGATAATGTGGCACTATGGCATTTTACTTCTAGTCCA